TTCCATGGTTCTGGATTTAATTTTTTAATGCAAAAAAACCTCTTCCTAGTCATTGTATTGTGCCAAGGGGAATATAGATTGGCTGTTAGGAAATAAGTTTGTCTCTCCCAACCTGGTCATTCTGGGAATGTTCTGTGAATATTTTGTGTCCAGTGAGGGTGGCACAGAATTCCCAGAGCAGCTGTGGCTGCCCCTGGATCCCTGGCAGTGCCCAAGGCCAGGCTGGACACTGGGACACCCTGGGACAGTGGGAGGGGTCCCTGCTCATCCAGGGGTGGCACTGGGTGGGATTTAAGGTCCCATTCCAGCCCAAACCATTCCATGGTTTTATGTGCCTGCCAGCTAAGGTCCCATTCCAGCCCAAACCATTCCATGATTTTATGTGCCTGCCAGGCCTGGCACTGTCAGATCATGGGCCATACCCTGCTCTGAGTTCCCTGATGTTGTTTCTTTCATTTCCAGGAGGAACCCAGGCTCTGGGCCGGCGGGAGCTGTGGAACACCAAGAGAGTCTTTTTCCTCACTCCTCAGATCATGGTCAATGACCTCTCTCGTGGGACCTGTCCTGCTGTGGAGATCAAATGTCTGGTTATTGATGAAGCCCACAAAGCCCTTGGCAATCATGCCTACTGCCAGGTAGGGCTGGAGCCACCCTGCTCTTCTCTCCCAGTTACAAAAACCTTCCCCAAAACTGCTTCCAGCATCTCCATAAAGTGTAGCCATGATATTCTATGAAAAATCTTTTGCTAGGATTTTTCCTGTCCTGAGGAGCTGAGAGCCTCAGGAAAGAAATGTAAACAATAACTATCTGCTGCTGTGGAATGTAACAAGTGGCTCTTTTATTAATCTGTGTAGATTGTTTTCAGTTGGTGACCAATTACAGCCACCTGGGCCAAGGCTGTGAGCAGTCACAGCATTTTGTTATTAATTCCTATTCTATTGTCTTGGTAGCCTTCTGATTCTTCTCTCTGTTCTTTTAGTATAGTTTTATGCAGTATTTTAGTATAATATATAACACCATAAATCAGCCTTCTGATGAAAATGGAATCAAGCCTTGTGTCCTCACACAAGGGGTCTCAGCATAGACAAGAATAAAGCATCACTGTCATTGCTGTGGGGAGATTGTCCTTGAGGTCCTTAACTTTGAAAGAAATCCAACATTCCTCTGAGCTGTTGTTGCCTTGTTTGTTAGGAATACCTGTAAGGTGTGTTTTCAGTGCCTCCATTAAATTGTAATTTTGGTTTAAAAATAGTTTTGGCTGGGCAATGTTAGTGTTTTTATAAGGTTCTTTAGCAGAGATAAGTCAGTTCAAGATTTCCTTTTAAATTTGGGTTTTCTCTTGGTTAGCCAAGGGTTTGTTGCATTATCATGGGTTAATCTCCTGAGAACAATAGGTGATCTAAAAGTTACTTTGATACACTGGGGAAATTTACTGGATATTTGTGGAGTTCAGATTACATAGGATTAATCATCTGTGAATTGCAATTTTTGGAGTTTTTCTTCCAAATCACTTTTTGGCAGCTCACCCAAGTTAGTGGGCTGTCAACACTTTTGTTAAATCAAGTGAGAAATCATTTCATAATTTTTCCAGGTTGTTCTTGGTACATTTCCAGGATTCCCCTGGATCCCTGGCAGTGCCCAAGGCCAGGCTGGACACTGGGGCTGGAGCAGCCTGGGACAGTGGGAGGTGTCCCTGCCATGGCAGGGGTGGCACTGGGTGGGGTTTGAGGTCCCTTCCCACCCAAACCTTTCTGGGATTCAGTCTTTTTGGAGTGTTTTGTTAAGCCTTTCCTACTTAGTGGGTATTTTCATTGATGTGGTTTGTACAAGGAAATAATCTCCTTTAAGGGCATTAATGAAGCTTTCCTGTCCTTAGGTTGTGAGGGAGCTGAGCAAATACACAAGTCAGTTCCGGGTGCTGGCCCTGAGTGCCACCCCAGGCAGTGACACCAAGGTGAGCCAAAGCTGCTTGTGGGGTTTCAATATCTGGGGTGAGTGGGAGCTCTGGCCTTTTGCCTGGAGCCTCTGCAGGCTCCTGAGGCATCCCACATCAAGACTGAATCAATTCAAAATCCATTACTTGATGAGGTTTGGTGTTTCTCGTGCTATAAACCATCAGTTATTGATTTGTGAGGGTGGGCAGGCCCTGGCACAGGTGCCCAGAGCAGCTGTGGCTGCCCCTGGATCCCTGGCAGTGCCCAAGGCCAGGCTGGGCACTGGGGCTGGGACAGTGGGAGGTGTCCCTGCCATGGCAGAGATGGGATTTAAGGTCCTTTCCAACCCCAGCCAGTCTGCAATTCCATTTCCTGACCTTCCTAGTGGGTGCCTTTTTCTTACAATTTTATGTTACCCCTGCTAAAATGTGCACGTAGTTACTTTGTTTTTGTGGCTTTTCCAGGCTGTGCAACAAGTTATCTCCAACTTGCTGATTGCTCAGATAGAGGTGTGTGCTGAGGATTCTCCAGAAATTCAGCCTTATTCTCACGAGAGACAAGTGGAAAAAATTGTAGTTCCACTTGGGGAAGAGCTGGTAGAAATTCAGAACACCTACATCAAGGTGAGTGACTGAATCTCCTTTTTGGTCAGTGGCCAGTGAGAGGAAATGTTTTATCATCTCTGTCTAGACTTGCAGTGTTTATAAAGTCAATGTTTTTTTTTTTTAATGTAATTAACTTTGGTTATAGGCTAAATTAAGCACCATGGGTTAAACTCCAGCAGCTGCAGTTTCATTTTGCACCAGTGACACCTTTTACCTTGCAGTAGCTTGAAAAGCTCAGGTGGAAAACCTGGAATTGAATTTTCCTCACCCTCTTTCAGCAGCCTGCAAAATTGACACCAGACCTAAACTGAGGTTTCTGCATTTGGCTGAAATCAGTAATATTAAGATGTTGGGAGTGCCTTGAGGAATCTGTGTGTGGACTGGAACATTTTTTCTGATTAAGAATACTCTTTAGAGCTTTAAGTCACTTGTGAGTGTATTTAGTTCTCGTGGGGGTTTTTCTAATTAGTTTATTTGGCCTCATAATTTATTTATTGGCCTGCTTCTATTACTATGATGATGACATCTTTTTCTTTTTTACCCGTGTTTAATGCCCAAATGTAAGAGAGATTTTTGGGGCCCAGAGCTGTTTGTCAGTCAGTTCTAACTTAGTGATCTGTGCCTTCCCAGTAAGATACTTGTTGGCAAATGATGTTACATAAAACACCACTCTGGAAAGTGTAAAATATCTGCTCTTTTTTTGTTTAGAGGCACAAGCAGTTAGGATTGAGTTATATATCAGACTGTTGGCCTCAGAGGCAACAGTTTAAACATATGTGTTTAACAAAGCCTGCATGTGGCACTGGGGGCCAGGGTTTAGCTGAGCTGCTGGGGCTGGCTTGGATTGATCTTGAAGGTCTCTCCCAACCTGGTCATTCTGTGAATTCTGGGAATTTGGTTAAAATTGATTGATTTTGGTGTAGCTGTGTGAAGAGCACTGGAAAGCAAACTTGTGAATGCAAACCAGTGACCTGAGGGTGTTTAAATGAGGAACTCCCAATGATGAAGAGAAACTTTCAAGTAGTTTTGCATCAGTGCAGGTGCCTCTGAGGGCTCTGAGTGCAGGGCTTTGTTTTGGGGTTTAAGCACCTTGGTTTGGCTCCACCAGCCTTGCCTGTGGCTGCAGTGCTTTCTGTTTCCTTCCTCTGCAAATGGATTTGCATTTCAAGTGCTGCTGCTTTCCTGGAGAACACAACTTCTAGTGACCCCAGGGCTGCAGGGCAGGTCTGCAGCTCACCCCCAGGGCTGCAGGGCAGGTCTGCAGCTCACCCCCAGGGCTGCAGGGCAGGTCTGCAGCTCACCCCCAGGGCTGCAGGGCAGGGCTGCAGGGCAGGTCTGCAGCTCACCCCCAGGGCTGCAGGGCAGGGCTGCAGGGCAGGTCTGCAGCTCACCCCCAGGGCTGCAGGGCAGGTCTGCAGCTCACCCCCAGGGCTGCAGGGCAGGTCTGCAGCTCACCCCCAGGGCTGCAGGGCAGGGCTGCAGCTCACCCCCAGGGCTGCAGGGCAGGGCTGCAGCTCACCCCCAGGGCTGCAGCTCACCCCCAGGGCTGCAGCTCACCCCCAGGGCTGCAGGGCAGGTCTGCAGCAGACCCCCAGGGCTGCAGGGCAGGTCTGCAGCGTGTGCCAAGGCCAAGCCTCACTTCTGCAGGCCTCAGCACTTGGGGAGGTGACTCCTCAGCTTCTGGGGCTTGAGGTGACCTTTCAGATTTGGGGCTTAAATGGCTTTTGTAAAGTAGGAGCAGCATCCCTAGGCAGGAGAGCAAAAGCCCCTGTGTGTGCTGTGAGAAGGAGAGCCAGGTGTCCTGTGCACAGTAAAATCATTCTTTAATTGTGCCAGACAGTAAACAAGAGAACATTTCAGTGTGAGCAAAGGACAGTGTCAGACAGCACAGCACAACAATGCCAGAGGAACTCTGTGGAGATGTCTTTACGTACAATAAGCAAGGCCCTGAGTATCACAATAGCTGGAATCAACGTTTTAGGCACTAACTCTGGTTTGGAAAATACACAGTATGCAGGACAACACTTATCTGTTAAGGCTACATCATTTAATCTTCCAAAAATAGGGGTGAATGCTGATTTATTATCTCCTTTCATGAGTGGAAAGCTAATAACTTCACATTAAAACTGAAAATCCAGGAGTGGCTCCCGAAGCAGAACCATGGATGGATAACAAAATACCTGTTCTAGGCAGTCATGATCTGAGTAACAGTGGTGTGTGCTTGGCATTCACTGGTGTAGCAGCTAAATCACTGTGTTTTGTGTCAGCTAAACACTGGAGCTGTTGGTCCCTGTGCTCCTGAGGGCCAGTGACAGCTGTTGGTACCAAGCCATAACGTGTATCTCCAAACTGGAGCTGAAGTAGTTTGCTTTTTGGTGGATTTTTTTTTTTTTTGGGGTTTTTTTTTTTTTGTGGGTTTTTTTTTTGTTTTGGGTTTCTTTTTTTTTGTGTTTTTTTTTTTCTTTTTTTCTCAGCAGCAGAAGCCATCTAACAGAAGTCAAAATAAATAAATACTATCTTGGGATTCACAGTTTGCAATAAAGGGCAGGGAATGCTGGGCTGCAGGTGGGATGTCAGCACACTCAGACAGATCTGCTGGTGCTTCAGGGATGTTTCTAGAACGTCACCATGGGGAGCTGAGCCACAGGAGGGGCTGGCAGGGACATCAGACACAGCAGATGCTTTAGCAGGAGAGGTTTAAAATGTGAATTATGTACAAACTGGTGCTCTGTGGTGAGAGGATCTCACTGCTTCCAGGAGCTATCCAACACCTGTTGTGCCAAAGCATAATGAGAATTTCCCTCACTGGCAAAAGTAATCAGATGGCAGAAATGTCTTTAATTTGCCATAAAATCTTGTCAGAGGTGAAAATTACTTTTATGTGCTCTTATAAAAATCTGGGGGAGGATATGAGAACAAAACCTTTTATTTAATGCCTCCCTGGCCCCTCTATTCAACTCAGTTTTAAAAATATTTTCACTGTTTTTTCTTTAATTTAGAGCTTTTAGTTTAATACTGGCTGGCATTTTTAATTTTCCTTCTCCCAGGCTGGGACACTATATTGCATTTTAGTTTGTTTGGGGTTTTTCTCCCTCTCCAGAAAGACTGTTGGGTTTTTTGTGTTAAAACTAAGGCTTTTGTGTCTCTTTTTTTATGTTCTGTTTCCTTTTCCCCCTGTCCTTGCTGCTTCCCAAGGAATCTCTGTGCCCAGCAGGCACCAGAGGGCACCTTGGCCCTGCTTAAGCCAGGGCCACTCTGGTCCTGCTGCTCAGGGAGAGGTGCTGGGTTGGGCACAGAGCCCTCCCTGTGGGACCAGGAGGTTTGGGTTCTTTCAGAAATCCTCCACAAATCCATTTTTGGAGCTGTTTTTCACCCTGCTGTGAGTTAGCAGCCACTGGCTCTGGTTGCTGCTCTGTGTGTTGGAGTTAAAGAGCACAGAGGTTCTGTTGGAACCCTAAATCCTGTAACCAATAAATAATGCTGGTGATGTACTCAGTGAATTTTATATAAAAAACATTTACTTCTATTAAGAATAAACTCTACCATCCTGTCAGTAAGAGGAGGCATTAGGGAGGGATTTTGGAGAGCAGAATTGTTTGCTGCCCTGACTCTAAAGTGCAGTAGGTGCTCTTGGGCTGTGTGGAGCAGTGGGAATGCTGCTCCCAGACCTTCTGGGGGCTCTGGAATGTGGGAGCTCAGCCTCTGCAGCGAGCCAGGCTGGCAGCTGAGGGCTTTTCACAGGGGTGAAGGGCAAAACAAACAACAAATTGATATCAGGGACCAAAATCTCTCACAGTGAGGGTGGTCAGGCGCTGGGACAGGGCCCAGAGGGACTGTGGGCTCCCCGTCCCTGGGGATGCTCAGCCCCAGCCTGGAGCAGCAGCCCTGCTCCCAGCACAGGTGTCTGCCCCAGGTCACTCCCAGCTGAGAGGTTCTCTGTGGGTATTTGTGTAATTTGTGCATTTACAGCCAGAAGTGCTGAGCAGTTTACTCCAGCTGCAGTGCTTTAACACCCAGCAAAGCTGTGAGAATAAACTGTTCAGAAAACTGCAGTTAAAAATAACCAGTGTCTCCCTAGGAATGCCAGAGCCAGTCATGGGATTCCTGGGGGGTGTGATGAGGATAACCTGCAATTTTGCTGTCAGCCCTTGAACGAGCAGTAGGACTGTGTGTCTTTTGGTCTCTCTCCAGACTCGGGGTGCTTTGGTGGGAGCTTTGTGAGGTAAGCTTTGGGGATCTCTGTGCCACAGCTGTCAGCATTGGCCTGTTTTTACTCCATGCTCTAATCCCAGCGGGCTAAATCTGGTACTTCTGCTCAGGAACTGAGCCCTGGACATTCTTTCTCTGCCTGTGTGAGGTGGGTTTGGTGTGTCACACTGAAAGCCCCCGTGGGCTCTTTGTGCAGCACCAGGGCAGGCCAGGGCTCCAGGATGTCCCCATCCCGAGCCACAGGCAGGCTAGGGATGCAGAAGGGAAGGGGTCTCTGCCTCCCTTACCTGGTCAATAAAACAGAAAAGGTGAACTAACTCTTAAAGTGCTAAAACCCTCCGTTAAATTTGTGTGAAAGCCGTCAGAGTTGGGGCAGGGGTCTGTGGCTGGGGAGCTGAGCTGGGCTGGCTCTTCCTAACCCCGCTGAGCGCTCCAGTGCTGACTGTGAGGGGGCACACCTGGGCTGCCCGGGGTCACCTGGCAGAGGGACGAGGCTCCACGGGGCAGCAGCAGCAGGAGGAGGCTCTGTGGGGCAGCAGAGGATCAGGAGGCCCCGTGGGGCAGCAGGAGAAGGAGAACACTCTGTGGGGCAGCAGCAGGAGGAGGAGGCTCCGTGGGGCATCAGGAGGCTCCATGGGGCAGCAGGAGAAGGAGAACACTCTGTGGGGCAGCAGCAGGAGGCTCCGTGGGGCAGCAGAGGATCAGGAGGCCCCGTGGGGCAGCAGGAGGCTCCATGGGGCAGCAGGAGGAGCAGGAGGCCCCGTGGGGCAGCAGGAGGCTCCGTGGGGCAGCAGGAGAAGGAGAACACTCTGTGGGGCAGCAGCAGGAGGCTCCGTGGGGCAGCAGGAGGCTCCGTGGGGCAGCAGAGGATCAGGAGGCCCCGTGGGGCAGCAGCAGCAGGCTCAGGGCCGCTGCAGGAACCAGATCTCGTTGTGGCGGTCGGCGGCCGCCGGGTTGGTGTAGCCGGCGATGATGAACGTGTCCTGCAGGCACAGCTCGGGGCTCTCCAGGATGGCTGCCAGCAGGTTGATCTCTCTCATGATGGAGTCTTCATTGGTGATCCCTCGGAAGCTCCTGCGGTGGTCAGTTCAGATCAGCTGGGGCTGCTCCCACAGCTGCCTGACGCTGCTGGGGGTGGCTCTGCGCCCCGGGGACGGTGACAGGACAAAAGGGGACAGCCCTGAGCTGCACCTGGGGAGGTTCAGGCTGGACGTGAGGAAAAAGCTCCTCACAGAAAGAGTGACTGGGCATTGCAAAGGGCTGCCAGGGAGGTGGTGGGGTCACCAGCCCTGGAGGTGTTTAAGGAAAGCACTGGCACTGGGTGCCATGGTCTGGGTGGTGTTAGGTCATAGGTGGAACTCAATGATCTCAAAGGTCTTTTCCAACCTAGTTCATTCTGTGATTCATTTTCCTGGGTGGTGTTAGGTCATAGGTGGAACTCAATGATCTCAAAGGTCTTTTCCAGCCTAGTTCATTCTGTGATTCGTTTTAAACCCACTGTTCTTCCAGAGCCCAGAAATGCCTTCTGAATGACTTGGTTGTGTTTCACCAGTGGTACTGACTGTGATTAACCCAAACCATTTATTCTTAAAGTTTTCTGTGCTGTGTCAGACACTTTGTTCCCAACAATACAGAATAGCCTGAGGGTGTTTTATCACACATTTACAGATGTATCATTTTTCTAAGTAATTGATATAAATATAGAATAACCTGAGCTGGAAGGGACCCACAGGGATCGTGGGGTCCAGTCATGGCCCTGCCCAGACCCCCAACAATCCCAGCCTGGGCATCCCTGGCAGCACTGTCCAAGCCCCGCTGGAGCTCTGGCAGCCTCGGGGCTGTGCCCATTCCCTGGGGAGCCTGGGCAGTGCCCAAAACCTTTCCCTGATATAAATAGGTAACCATTATTTCCTGACCATCCCATTCATAAAACATCCAGCTTTTACAACTCCTGGAAATTAAATTTTAGCATTTGCTACCTTTTACAAGGTCTGAAAATCCCATGGTGCCCAGACCGAGGGCTGGATGCTTTCCCTGTGTTTAGCAGAGCAGCGTTAAGGCATTTCTCACCTGCTGTAGACAATGGTGGCAGGCCACTCCTCGATGATGATGTCGGAGTCGAAGGGGTGCGGGGGCTCGTCCTGCAGCACCTCGGGCAGGTAATAGGCCACTGTCACCGCCTGTGTCATCGCCGACTGCGCCTCGTTGGTGTGCACGATGGTCACGATGGGCACGGTGATGCCCAGGTACAGCCCTGCCCGCGCACGGGGACAGCGGTCAGCACGCACGGGGACAGCGGTCAGCACGCACGGGGACAGCGGTCAGCACGCACGGGGACAGCGGTCAGCACGCACGGGGACAGCGGTCAGCACGCACGGGGACAGCGGTCAGCACGCACGGGGACAGCGGTCAGCACGCACGGGGACAGCGGTCAGCACGCACGGGGACAGCGGTCAGCACGCACGGGGACAGCGGTCAGCACGCACGGGGACAGCGGTCAGCACGCACGGGGACAGCGGTCAGCACGCACGGGGACAGCGGTCAGCACGCACGGGGACAGCGGTCAGCACGCACGGGGACAGCGGTCAGCACGCACGGGGACAGCGGTCAGCACGCACGGGGACAGCGGTCAGCACGCACGGGGACAGCGGTCAGCACGCACGGGGACAGCGGTCAGCACGCACGGGGACAGCGGTCAGCACGCACGGGGACAGCGGTCAGCACGCACGGGGACAGCGGTCAGCACGCACGGGGACAGCGGTCAGCACGCACGGGGACAGCGGTCAGCACGCACGGGGACACGTTCAGTACGCACGGGACAAGCTGAGCGTTCAGCACACACGGGGACAGCGTTCAGCAGGCATGGGGACAGCGTTCAGCACGCACGGGGACACGTTCAGTACACACGGGACAAGCTGAGCGCGCTCTGCCCGCCCGCTGGGTGTGGGCTGAGGGGTTCAGTGAGCCCGGGGGGTCAATGGAGGGATTTCACTGCCCTGGTTTGGGCACTGCAGGCTGCGAGGAGCAGAGTGCCCAGAGCAGCTGGGGCTGCCCCTGCATCCCTGGCAGTGCCCCAGGCCGGTTGGGCACTGGGGCTGGAGCAGCCTGGGGCAGTGGAAGTGTCCCTGCCATGGCAGGGGTGGAACAGGAAGATCTTTAAGGTCCCTTCCCACCCAACCATCTGTGACTGTGATTTCCCTGTGCTTTGTAGCTTGTGTGTGTGTGCAAATGTTTGTGTGTTTGTGTCCAAAACACAGCATTTGGTGAGCTCTCCCCTCTTCATGGAGGGCAGGGAGTTTGCCTGAGGCCTTTTCCCCCTCCTTAAACAGTTGTGTTCATCTTCAAACTGACCTTGTGTCATGGTTTAAATATTTGGGAACAAAACTGCAGGCAAGAGAAGGGGCTGCTCTGTGAATTCGTTGAGGGTTTGCTGTTATTAAAAAAGTTGCAGTATTTTCTTTTTTTTTTTTTTTTGTTGTACTGCAGGAGGCAGAGGGGACTTCCCTTCTGTACAGTTTGATAACAACCCTGCAGCTCTGGAGCTAAAATTACTTTAAAACCACATTAAAGTGTTTAAAGAATGGGGAAGGTACCTGGGGAAGGAAGAGCTTTTGTGAACAATGTTTGTGTTTTCTTGGAAAGATACTTAAGGGCTGAGTCAATTACAGCACAGACTACTGAGCATGGCAAAACTTGATAGTAGTAGCTGGAGGATGAAAAATATGAGAACTGATGTCTGGAAGTGAAAAACAGATTAAATTGGATTGCACACCAGGTGCACATTTTACAGGCAGGAACAAGCTCTCAAGGACATGGTGGATTTGCCATTATTTTGAGCTAAAACTGGATTATCTTTCTGGAAAACATGCTTCAACCACAAATTTGCCATGTCCATTGGGACAGGGACAATTTAATATCTTGAACTAAAGGGAAGGAGGCAGAAAGCTCTGCTCCCTTTTGGTATCACACTCTGCCAGGTGATTTCAGTGCTGCTGTGGAAATGAAACCCTGCAAATCCTGTGGCAGATGCCAGACTTACAGCAGAGAGCTGGGAGCAGCCTGGGGCAGCGGGAGGTGTCCCTGCCATGGCAGGGGTGGCACTGGGTGGGGTTTAAGTCCTTCCAGCCCAAACCATTCCAGGAGTTCTGTGAGTTTTCTGGGAAGGCTGTATCATGGAAAAACATCCCTATAGGGTGTGTATTTGGGAAAAGCTGTTCAAAGCATCTCCCTAATTAGGAGAGAGGGCAGAAATACCATTTTGTAAGTGCTGTGGGGGTGAGGTGTGCATTACCTGAGGAGTTCTGCTCACAGATGTACCTCATGAGCTTCATGAAGCCGAGGCAGATGCTCTGCTCGTACTGCTTCTCTTTCATTTTGATGCAAGCCCACTTGGCTTTCCCATACTGCCTTTTCTCATAGAGCAGATCTCCCAGCTGCAAACACACAGGGAAGAATTGGGGATTGTAATTTAATCATCTGAAAACATCAGCCAGACAAAAAAATACAAGTTGAGCACAAGAGCTGCATCTTTTCAGCTCTCAGTGACATGATGTTGAAAGAAACATGAATTTTAATCCTTCTTCCTATAAACCAAGGAATACACTGCTGATTTTGGATCAAAACTGACTTCAGCAGACTTCTAGGTAGTTCTCCTTTAAAATAAGGCTCTGTCATCTTTTGGACTGCTGCTGTTAAACATTTAGTTCCAATTAACACTGAATAACCTTATTTTTCAGCTGCAGTCGTTACAGTAATAATGTAACATTAAAAAATGCTTTCAAAAAAAAACCATCAGGAGTCCCAAATTTCATTTAAACACACTTGAGTGTGTTTAAATGAACGACACTCAAATTATTGTATTTATAAGTGTGAATTATTTAAATCTGTTTAAAAGAAATGTGACCAAAAATTCCTCATAGATGGTCAGTAAAGGCTTTCATGGTTTTTGATTTAAAGTTGGACATTTGTTTGCACATTTCATGAGCTGGAAGTAATTTGCTGTACATTAATTTC